TACGTTTCCGTGGAAAAAAATCTCCGACTGGAAAACCTTCTAAGAATTTACACATTCATCCCACTTGTTGTCGAATATTCCATTTTTTAGTGCTGCAATTTCCTTGTCTAGCTATATCGATTTCATTAAGTGGTACTACTATTGGCCTACTGTATTATACTACTGCATTTATGTAGTTTTCATTATCGAATGGTACCGGATGAATCGATTCAAAAAGTCGGGAGATAGGGTCTGCGATATTTTCTTTGCCTGGACGGTAAACGATCTTGTACTTGTAAGCCTGCAGGCGCAGAACTCAGCGCTCTATGCGCGCACAAGGCTTAGATCTGATCCCAAAAATAGCTTCTAGGGGCTTGTGATCACTAATTAGTTCGAATTCTTTGCCCAATAGATATATTTTAAAATGTTCTACGGACCACACCAGTGCCAAGGCCTCTTTCTCCGTCCGACAGTATCTTTTCTCACAATCAGTAAGACTCTTTTTACCAAACGCTATCACACGGGGGCCGTTACTATCAATTTGAATGAGCACTGCTCCTAGTCTAACTGGGGACGCGTCAGCTATTACTTGCGTTCTGTCTGCTGGATTGTAATAACCTACCGTTTGTATACGCGAGAGCCGTCTCTTAAGGTTTTCAAATGCCTTGTCCTGAGCGCCTGTCCAATATTTTTGAATCTTAACAGACTTACCTAATTTAAGGCGTATCAGCTTCCGAAGGGGTTGTGTAAGCGATGCCAAATTGGGTATCCATTTTCCAACATAATTGACTAGCCCAAGAAAACTCTGTATTTCTTCGATATTTGAAGGCTTTTTTGTGAACTGGATTGCTTTCATGTATTTGTCTAGAGGCTTTACTCCTCTTGCCGTTAGTTGATGTCCTAAAAATTCAATCATGTTTGTCTTGTAGATGCATTTAGCATGATTGAGGAGAACATTTTCCTTCAACGTCCGTAGTACTTTGTCGAAACGTCTGTCATGCTCAAGCTCATTAGATCCATGGACGATAATATCGTCTATAAAATTTGCAGAGCCCTCACAACCTAGCAACAACTTTTCTAGGACTTTTTGAAACATTTAAGGGTACACACGACACGCCAAACATTAGTCTTTTATATCGGAACAAACCCTTACTGGTACTAAAGATAGTGATGTACCTACTGTCTTCATCAATCTCCGAGCCGGGAAAAAAATTTAACTTGCCTGAAATTGGGCAAGAGTTACAATGGATGAATCATGTCGTGCAGTGTCAGTTTTACTTTAGTACTGGCAATGGAGGGTGGATGACTGTTCTTAATTTTCTTAAAGGAATTGGTATTCTTCTGTACGGTTGAATAACCGGCTTCACTTTCTTATTGATAGGGATCTGGATTGTAATGCCTTTGAATTTGGGGAAGGTACTGATATTATTAACAGGAACACCAATTCTAAGAACGTTGAGTTGAATTGCACTTGTCTTTCCCAGAAGGTTACGTGTCCAATTCCGAATAACATAGAAAGTTGCATTTTGTATAAGGCCGCCATCAATTGTTATATTAGCATCAAAAGCACCGAGTACATCTAAAGGCTTTTGACTACCATAGGGCAACAATATCTTCCCAGGATTCTTAATTTGATTCGTGACTTCCACATTATGACTTTTCAGATGTTCCCATGTCTTGTCTGTAATAATATTGCATTTACTACCCGAATCAATCAGCATATCAATGATTACAACTTTGCAATCAATAACTGCATCGTCATCTAATTGGAAAACATAGTCCACTTCGTCAGCATTTTCCTTTGTTGTTTATTAAATTTCTGTCTCTTCGCGTTAACCCTATCGTCATTCCTTGAGTTAATATTCCGTTTATGTTTTTTAGTCCTGCAATATTTCTTAAAATGTCCAATGATTCCACATTTCAAACATTTTTTGTCCCTTGCTGGGCAACCATTATCGAACGATAAGTGGTGGTGCTACCGCACCTGAAGCAATTTTTAAGCGAGCTCAGAGTCGATGGTAATTTCTTGTTATCTAGTCTGTTAATTTCAGATTTGTTTGAGTCGTAACTTGTACTTGAACCCGGTCTATCAAACGCATCGAGTTGTCTATTCACTGTTTCTAGTGTACTAGCAATAGTTATTACTTGCTGAAGAGTGATACTATCTCCGCCGGCCAAGATTTTTTTCTTAATTCTGCGCTTCGACCTTTTTCGACAATTTGGTCGATAAGATTTGCATCCTTAGCAGTAAATAGGCATTTTTCAGCTTGGTTTCTCAACCTTACTAAAAATGTTTCAAATCTTTCCCCTTCTTTTTGTTTCATCAGTCTAAAATTTATCTTTCGTAATATCTGCTCTGCTTCGGGGAAAAATATTCGTTTAATTTTTTAACAGCAACTTTATATACGTCCACATTATCGGCCTCATCAACGTGAGCCTCTGGTAAGTTGTAGTACACTTCTTGCAGAGCAAGTCCACCAATGTGCAAGAGTGTAGCTCGCTTTTTTCCACCAGATTCAATATTGGCAGTTAAGAAGTATATTTCTAGGGCTCTTTTCCACTTTTCCCATCTCACTCCTACTGAAACCGGATCGCCTTCACACTCAAAATGCTTAAGACCCGGAAACGCTGATGATATCTGAACCATTTTCGGTAATCTGTAACAATCGTGTTACCAATTAAAATATATTAACTAGACCCAAGATCAGAGAACCAAAATTGTCGAACATTATTACTTTTCTCATATTGACCATTGTTAATACCTATTTTGTACGGGCTCGTATATATTATTGACTATTCCAACCAGCAAGGTCTTATATATTAACCCTTCAACTAAGTACTGTCTTTCTTATTGATCTGTAAACTTAGTACGGTATTTCATATTGACCTTTCAACTTAGTACGGTCTTTCATATTGACCCTTCAACTTAGTACGGTCTTTCATATTGACCCTTCAACTTAGTACGGTCTTTCATATTGACCCTTCAACTTAGTACGGTCTTTCATATTGACCCTCCAACTTAGTACAGTCTTTCAAATTGGCCCTTCAACTTAGTACGGTCTTTCATATTGACCCTTCAACTTAGTACGGTCTTTTATATCAACTTAGTACGGTCTTCCATATTGACCTTTCAACTTAAGGTCTTTCATATTGACCCTTCAACTTAATACGGTCTTTCATACTGACCTTTGACAGTATTACTTATCATAGCCTATCTTATTGACTTCCCCAAGCGTAATATCACGAACGTGCGATATTTAAAATACTACCCAACAACGTTTTCCCTTTTTTTTCCCAATCTATTCGTATTAATTAGATTACTTGTTTTAATTAAAGCATATTTTGTATATTTTGTATTTAAATATCCAACGTAATTACTTCACTTCTTATAATAGTTAGAAACTGAAATTCAGACTGCCCACTTTCAAGTTTCAACAATATTATAAAAAATATTATTTTATTTTCTGAAACGTAATTATGCAGTTGTATTACAACAATAATTAGTGAGGAGTGCTTTTACTGCCCTACTTTTATGCTCTTCCATTACTATTTTCTGAATAACAATTCTTATAATCCGTATTTTAAATTAACCCTTTCACAGCGAATCACGAGTACCGCTCGGCATTCGTATCAAGCGGCGCCTTAAAATGCTCCGCTGTGAAAGGGTTAATAAGCAATCATAAACTAACCATTGTCGTACTGTGATGCGTGTACTGTGGGTACTCGCGTCTCGCTTTATTTTGCTACCTAGCTGGTGTAGTACGTTATCAAAGAAATGTATCATGAAATAGTGTAACTAAACCAACCAAATGTTCTGGCTTATAATAACTAAAATATCAACGTAGCTCGTATATAATACTCAAAGGTTTCCTATTTCAAAATATTATTATACGTTTGCATTGGATTATGTAGGGTATGCTCTAAAAAAATATAAAATCAGTATTTTTACACTTTCGTATAATACTATATTTCCTTTTAACGAAATATGAATTTCAACTTACGTTTATTCTCGTCGCCACTTGTAGAATGCTCGATAGCACTGACAATAAGGTACACACTGAATACGTCCGCTCGCCACGGCCGTTGACTGTCTAATGACCTCCTCTTTTTTTTAATTAAAGAGCTACCCTATACGTAGGGAGGCGGAAAATGCATTACACATACCACGATAGCCGGTCTATCGTGGTTATGAGGGACTCGCATCCTACCGGGGAACCTAAGTGATCCCTCTAAAAACCGCCTTTAAGGACTGGCAATTGGCTGATTAAGCTTTATTGTGCCGTATCGTGAGCGACCCTCTTTTGGGAAAAGAGGGCGCAGGCGGCTACGAGCCGCTGAGGGAGTGCCTACGAAGGAAAATTAATTACGAATAAATAATTTAATTTAATTAGAGTTGGCTTGAGCCGCCAGGAGGTAGTTCAGGTCGTTTGATAGTTTATTAGGCGGGTCCGAGTGAGAGTTTCTCGGCCTGCGGACTCGATAGCGGGAGGGGGGGTGGGGCTGCATAAGTAGCTGCCTCACGAATAAAATGGTTGGAGTGCGACTCTGAGGCTTTGAAGAAGTTCTCAGAGAGTTTTTTGAGAAATTGTTGAATTGTGGGGAGCTCTAGGTCCCGATGAAGGTCGGCATTACGGACGTGCCAAGGTGCGTTCGCAGCTCGACGACAGAAAAGGTTTTGGTGACCTCCTCCCATAGATCATTGAATATATACTAGACAATCGAATAACCCCCACTACCCTGTATACTACAAGTACAATACTGAAAATTTGAATTCAAGTAAATAATAGGTGCGTATAATAGATAATATAATACAGAAGTTGTCATCTTAATCATTTTTGTCAGTAAAAGAGGAGCGCGCCACACCATCATACAATTTGAAAGAAAGTTTTCATGTCCCGTGTTAACATCAGTTTTTTCAGGTCTTCCGTCTGTTTAGGAATGTAATATGTATTATATACAAAATTCAAATATTTACTTTGAAGTGATGTTGGGGTAATTTTACTTTCAAATTTCTTTTTTAGAAATGCAGCCCTCCAACTATATGGTGCTTTAATCCCAAAACTAATAGGCCAGAAGAAAGCTTCTGGTTCCGAGGACGAAGTTGCTGCCACTGTAGCATGTGACGAGTTTCGGACACACTTTCCCCAACTATGGAGATTTATATCGGATCAATTAAAATGCGATCAAAAAAAGGATGTATTACTGTCACATTCTAATTTTCTGCCTATATTAAATATTCTAGGTAATATAGCAAAAAGGTACAACTTTTTCAATCATTTTGAAAATGAAATTGATGCAGATGATTTATTAAATAGTCTTGTTGCGTTACTAGGAAGTCCTATATTCACTGTACGACGACTTACTGCAGATAGTATTTTTAACATTTACTCCTTTGATAATATTTTTGAAATATTAGAAAAAGCTAAGCAAGTGAATGAAAATTGCCTTCATGGGTATCTTTTACTATTGGTGAAATGTAACAACCATTACAAAAATACTACATGCCAAAGCAAACTTGATATATTAAAAACTAAATTTAAGACTGTATTAGACTCACGAATGCATTCTTATATGTGCAGAGAGTTATTAGAGAGCATATGTAATGAAACATATAACTTTGGAGAAATTCTATCGGAAATTAAAAATCATTCAAATGAGCCTGGGAAATTTCAATGGGCTAACACACATATTCGTAAATGTTTGCTTAATTGCGAATGGGCAGAAATACCTCACTGGTTGTACTTAATTTTGGATAGCAGGGAATATGAAAAACATTGTGAAATATTGTGCTCAAAAATTGACTCTCAAGATGTCGATAGTGTAGTATTTAAAAAAATAACTGATATCTTCCTAGCATTTCCAAAGAAAATGTCAAGTAATATTATTTGGAAAATTCTGTATAAAATATCCTTGTTAACTAACATCAATAATAATTTAGATATTAAAGACATCACTGAATATTTAAAGGATAATATTTCCTATAAATTAAGATATATAATTCCATTTGCAGCTAGAATAACATTTGAGCAAGACATTTTATTAGCATTAAGTAAAATCATTCATAAATTATGTAACGCTGAAGAGTCAGATATAGAAATGAGAATTATTGCCGCCAAGGCAAATAATGAAATTGCTCATAAATTAAGCAAATTACCTGATGAAATAAAAATAGTTTCCATTATAACAGCAGTTATTTTATTGCAAGATGAAAATGAAGATGTAAGAAGTTTGAGTGTATATTTTTACAAGAACTCCTGTAAAATGTCGTCACTTGTACATCCATATATTTGCTTACGCAGTATTTTAGACGATAAATTTTTAAGATCTGTTTTTTCTGATCCCAGCAGTGGCATAAATTCTATTTTGGAAGGTTTGTTAAATTTATTGCCGTCTTTAAGCTCGCAAAATATGGATAATTTTAATCCATTTACAAATGAATCTAAAAATATTTATCAAGAAGTTACTGTTATAAAATACTTGATTGCAAATTTGAAGAAAGGTTTATAATAAAAATAATAATTTAAAAAAATTGTTTATTTTACTTACCTAAAAATTATACATTTAAATAAGTTAATAATTATAAGTTATATTATTCTTCATAATAGAACTTTTGTGAAGAAGTTGAGTCCATTGTATCATCTATTTTTATAGAAACAATGTGCCGTCCAGGCACCATGACAAGACCCAACACACGGGGTTCTTCAGTTTCACCATCATTATTTTTGAGGTATTCAGAACAAGCTCCTGCAATAAAATACTAATAATAAGTTCTTTATTTTCCAAAAGGTAGTACAACTAGATATTTGCTTTATATTTAATAAAAATAAATTGATACATATACTTGAAACAGCATCTGCATGTGAACTAGGCAACGTGTGCATCAGCTGTCGACACCATAACCCCACCGCTAACTTATATAAATTAGGATGCAAGTTTTTGATGCAAAATTTTATTTAGTTTATTATATGTATAAGTGTGATCCTAAAAATTCAGAATCTTCTTATAAAAGATGTTTTAAAATTAGTAGCATCTACGGAAAAATTCCAGCATTTAAGTTCGTTCAGTTGTATAGCAATAAGCCATGTTGTTTCTGAATCATTGTTAATATAAACAGTTGTCATACTGTAAGGACCTGACAGTTACCATGAAATTATCATGTAGGATAAAGAAAAGGTTTAAATGTTGCTACTTTGAGTATAGCATGTTAAGAGGTTTCTTTCTTTTGTAACACCATTTTTAGAAGCACCACCACATGTTGATATGCAGTATGTTACAATAGACTGACATAAAGTGTAATATCTGGACTCGTTTTAATATATCTGGATTCAAAACGTGTCTAATGATTTTAAATATATATATATATTTAAAACTATTAGACTATATTAATTTATGAATTCGTTTGCAGTGTTTGTTTAAAAATTACAATCTATTCAACAGACTCAAGTGAACGGCAGGAACAGCTGTTCTCCCTTGTTAGACAATTATATGGATTAATCACTCAGTAAAAATTTTCAATGTTGCGAATAGGTTTGCTTAATGGATAATTTTTTTTTAAATATTAGTAATTGCATTTATACCTATATGTGCAGATAATAATACATATATCCACGTATCCGCAGCAAATATCAAAACAGTGTCATCTGCATATGAAATTATATGTCCCTGAGAGAGATAAAATTTTGTAAAATTATCAATATAAATAAGAAATAAGGTTGCCCCGAGTTTACTCCCTTGTGGCACGCCATGTGTTTTTTTTATTATTATATGCGAGCAGCTATGCAGGTCTAGGTAAAGAGACCAGTATCACTGCGACCTAAAAGATCTATTGTGATCGCTGCTATGGTTATATTTCACTGCTAAGCCCTATGTCTTCAATGAATCGAAGGAGTTGCTTAGCCGTGAGCAATTTTACTTCTTCTGGGCGGAGAAGATAGTGTCCCAGATGAGTATTACGTTTGCGCATTAAGGGTTCGCAATCGGTTAGGATGTGTAGAGGCGTTTCTTCCGTTATGGAACAGAACCGACACATCCTTAAGTTGCTTAGTCCCAGGATGGACATGTGCTTTTTAAGACAACAGTGTCCAGTTAGGGCTCTTGCCAGAATGCGCAATTTATTTTTACTTAATCCCAGGGCTTCTGAAGCGATTTACGATCAAAGGCCCGGATTAAGGTTATAGAATGTTTTAAGCCTGGTGTGTCAGACCAGATCTTAAGTGATTTATTGTGATAAAGAGTTTCAAGAGTCAATCGGGCTAGGCTTCTTGAGATTCCACAAAATGGCTCGGGTCCAAATTGTGTGCACTTTGAGCCCTGAGTGGAAGTTTGTCGGCAAATTCGTTGCCTACAATACCCTCGTGACCCGGAACCCATCTTAAAACGACCCTGTTGTTACAACCCAGGGCGTTTAAACGGTTCACGCAGTCTTCAACTAGCTTTGAGTTCACTAAGTTTGATCTCAGCGCTAGCAGTGCTGCTTGACTATCAGAGTTTATGTAAATTTTATGGTTGATGTAGTGTTTTTGCAGATTGATTTCCGCACACCGAATATGGCGAAAATTTGTGCCTGGAAGATAGAGGTGTATCTACCCAAATTCATACTAAGTTTGAATTTGGGGCGTTCCCCGTAAATTCCAAAGCCTACGTCGAGGCCCATTTTAGACTCATCGGTATACCATATGAGGCTACCGACCTCACAGATAACCTGGCCATTCAGCCAGTCTTCTCTGGAGGGTAATTCCACTATATACTTTTTATCGAAAGTGTGTAGTAGACGCATGATATATATATTAGTCTGAGATCATGCATAAGACCGGTGATTCCTTAATTGAGTCGAGAATGGATCTCAATCTGTAGGAGAGCAAGCTCAGACCGCCCTGGGCGTTAATCCTATATAAACTAGCCCTCGCCTCCTTGTCTAAATAGAGATCAAGGGGCGTTAGACACAGAAGTGCATTAAGAGCCGCTCCAGGCGATGATCGCATAGCTCCAGTTGCCATTAGGCAGGCAGTCCTTTGTAGACTATTTAGTCTGTCCGCAGTCGTCTTTTGGTTGGCCTTGTTACACCAATAGAGGCGTAAGTGCGAATCGGCGTCACTATGCTGCTGTACAGCCGTAGGACCATACTGGGACGCAAGCCCCAGTTGTTCCCGACCAAACGACTGCACGTACCTTTTTTTTTTTTTATAGAAGAGGGGGCAAACGAGCATGTGGCTCACCTGATGTTAAGTGACTACCGCCGCCCATGATCAACCGCAACACCAGGGTAATTGCAGGTGCGTTGCCGGCCCTTTAGAAAGGAGTAAGCTCTTTTCTTGAAGGTCCCCAGGTCGTATCGGTCCGGAAAAATCACCGGTGGTAAATTATTCCACAAAGAGGTTGTACGCGGAAGAAAACTCCTTTTGAAACGTACAGTGGTGGACCGCCAAGCATCCAGATTGTGTGGATGGTATCGGGACGTTTGCCGTGTAGTGCGTTCACGAAATTTGGCGGCTGGGATTAATCCGAACAATTCCTCAGAGCACTCCCCGTGATAGATGCGATAAAATACGCAAAGAGATGCAACATCTCTTCGCAGCGCCAGTGAATCGAGCCGATCGGAAAGCACTCGGTCGTCGATGATTCGAGCCGCTCTGCGCTGGATGCGGTCAAGTGGAAGGAGCTGGTACTGGGGAGCCCCAGCCCAGAGATGGGAACAGTATTCCATGAGCGGCCGAACCTGCGCCTTGTAAAGTTGTAGGCGGTGTGCCGGCATGAAATACTGTCCCGCTCTGCTGAGCACGCCAAGCTTTTTAGAGGCCAATTTGGCCTTCCCTTCCAAGTGACCACGAAACTGCACGTCACTCGATATGTCGACGCCGAGGATTCCGATACTGGCTGAGGCAACAAGGGGAGTGCCTTGAAACTGAGGGGATACGACAAAGGGGTTCTTTTTAGCGGTTAACGCGCAAACTTGTGTCTTCTGGGGGTTAAACTGGACTAGATTTAGTCGCCCCCAATCCGAGACTCTGTCCAGCAGAGACTCGACTTCAGACACAAGTTTGTCCCGGCACTCAGAGACGTTTTCCCGAGAAATATTGGCTCGGCCGGTGTAAAGAGCATCACCAGTGCTGTCATCTGCATAGCAATGAATGCTACGAGTTTGCAACATATCATTGATATGCAGAAGAAACAGCGTTGGCGATAGCACGCAGCCCTGTGGAACACCAGCATTAATAAGCTTGCAATCGGAGCTTGCACCGTCTACAACGACCTTGATGCTCCGATCTGCAAGAAAACTGGTGATCCAATCGCACAATTTCTCGGGAAGCCCATAGGAAGGGAGCTTCGAAAGAAGCGCTTTGTGCCAAACCCGATCGAAGGCCTTCGCAATGTCCAAACTAACGGCCAATGCCTCCCCCTTGGACTCTACTGCCTCCGCCCATCTGTGAGTTAGGTAGACCAGAAGATCACCAGCTGACCTACCACGGCAAAAACCGTATTGGCGGTCACTAATCAGCTGGTGATCCTCAAGGTACCTCATGAACTGGCAGTTTACAATGGACTCCATTGTTTTGGAGAACAAGGAGGTGATGGCGATAGGCCGGTAGTTGGACGGGTCTGAGCGGTCGCCTTTTTTAGCGATCGGGTGGACGAAAGCCGTCTTCCATGATTTTGGGACTACGCCTAGGGAGTAGGAGTACCGGAAAAGACGCGTTAAAACCGGTGCCAACTCTGGAGCACACGTCCTCAGCACAATTGGGGGGATTCCATCAGGCCCACTCGACTTATGGATGTCCAGGGAGAGGAGCAATACCTAAAGCAATTTTTGCCTTATGGCATACGTTGCTAAGGTGATAGTTCCACGTTAGTTTTTGGTCGATTGTTACGCCCAAGTACTTAACTTCCGTGGAAAATGGTACTTCTTTACCATTAAGTTTTGGTTGGACTAATTTGTCCAACCGTCTCTTTTTGGTAAAGGGTATTATAACAGTTTTATCAGCATTAACTGATAAACAGTTATCCCTACACCACTTATTTATGGTGTTTAGGGCTCTTTGTATTATTGACGATAAAGTACTTTGGCAAAAGCCCCTCGCAATGATCACAAGGTCATCAGCATAACCCAATGTGTCAATGCGTAGGTCTGCCATTTTGCACAATAGTTGGTCAACCGCAAGAGTCCAAAGAAAGTGTGACAAAACACCTCCTTGTGGGCAGCCTCTTGTGGTTGCAACCTCAATCGAAGTTTAAAACAGCGCTATTTTTGCCTTTCTGTTTGAGAGCATCGACTTCACCCATCTGATGGTTGTGGGGTCAACATTTTTAGATGTTAGGCCCCCAATCAGCAGTGATGTGGGGATACTGTCGAAGGCACCCTCAATATCTAGAAAGGCACAAAGAGCTATTTCTTTATCCTCCAGTGCTTTTTCGACCCTGTTAATAACACTGATCAGGGCTGTTTCCGTAGATTTGCCTCTGCGGTAAGCATGCTGGTTGTAATGTATGGGCCTCGTAGCAGAAAGGAAGAT